CAGGTGGGCGGGGCGGAGTCAGGTGGCCGGGGCCGGGCGCCGGGAGGAGGGATCAGGGCTTTGCGGTGCTCCCCTCAAAAAACGTACGAAGCAGAAGGACGAGAAAGGGGAAAAGAGGTCTAGGCGCGGTGGTTCACACCTGTAATCCCAGCACTTCTGAGAGGCTGAGGCGGGCGCATCACCTGAGGTCAAGAGTTTGAGACCATCCTGGCCAACATGGTGAAACCTCGTCTCTACTAAAAACACAAAAATTAGCCTGGCCACGCCTGTAGTCCCAGGTACTCGGTAGGCTGAGGCAGGAGAATCGCTTGAGCCGGGGAGGCGGAGGTTGCAGTGAGCCGAGGTCGCACCACTGCACTCCACCGGGTATGAGACTCCGTCTCAAACAAAACGAAACAAGAACTTTAAAAACCCTTTGTTACCCAGGTCCCGCCCCGCCTGCTCATTTCATCGTTTACTGCTGTGCAAAAAATTGCTATACTAGCACTGCTAGCAAGCCATATGTATAGATGAGTGGATAGAGTGACCAAAGGTCCTGGGCAAGGTCCCTTTAGGACTCAGTGACTTTCAAACTTTGACCAGCTGCACTCACCATAAGAAATTTCACCCCTGGATGGGCGCAGTGGCTCACACCGGTAATCCCAGCACTTTGGGAGGCTGAGGCGGGCGGATCACCTGAGGTCAGGAGTTTGAGACCAGCCTGACCAACCTGGTGAAACTCCATCTCTACTAAAAATACAAAAATTAGCCGGGCGTGGTGGTGGGCGCCTGTAATCCCAGCTACTTGGGAGGCTGAGGCAGGAGAATCACTTGAACTCGGGAGGAGAAGGTTGCAGTGAGCCGAGATCGCACCATCACACTCCAGCCTGGGTGACACAGCGAGACTCCGTCTCAAAGAAAATAATAATAAAATAAAATAAAAATAAAAATGCTGGTCCAGATCAGCTAAATGGCTTTTATAAACTCCCCTTCTTCTCCCCTACTAATGGATCTGACCCAAGTATATGATCCCAGATAGTTGAGCATCTGAGGGAGAAACTTCAAGTAACTGTTAAGCATCAATGGGAGATTAAGATATGGCAAATGTGAAATTATATTGGTGACAACAGTGGTCTCCAACCTTTTGGCACCAGGGACTGGTTTCGTGGCAACTTTTCTATTATTATACTGTAATCTATAATGAAATAATTATATGACTCACTATAATACAGAATCAGTGGGAGCCCTGAGCTTATTCTCCCACAGCTAGATGGTCCCGTCTGGGGATGATGGGAGACAGTGACAGATTATCAGGCATTAGATCCTCATAAAGAGCGTGGAACCAGGATCCTGCCGTGATCAGTTCACAATAGGATTGGCGCTCCTATGAGAACCTAAGGCTGCCACTGATCTGGCTGGCAGCAGAGTTCAGGCGGTCAGGCTCCCCCGCTGCTCATCTCTATGCTGCTGCCTGGTTCCTAACAGGCCATGGACTAGTACCAGTCCATGGCCCAGGGTTTGGGGACCCCTGGGTGAAAACACTTTACATTTTTAATTTCATGTGATGGAGTAGAAGACACTGCTGAGTTCCATTCATGCCAGACCTCGGGGTCGCTCGGTGTGAAAGGAAGAAAAGGGAAAGGGCAGGAGGGAAGACCTGGCAGACCTGGCAGATGGGACTCAGAGCTTGGTGGTGACGCGGCTGCCCTGGCTGGGCTGCTGCCTCCTGCTGACCCTGGGACCCAGGGAAAGATGGTCACAGAGTAGACGCTTCGATGGAAAGGGATGGGATCCTGTAAGAGCCCTCATTTGTCTTCATTGTACAACGTGGGGAAACTGAGGCGCAAACCTGCCTGAGTGACCAAGGTGGGACCCGAACACTCTCCAGGGCCCGTGAAGGCCTGCGTGGAGTACAGGGGTTGGAAGGGGTGGGCGCTCCATCCATCCACCCCCACTGCTCCCACAAAGCCCTTCTCTTCCCAGCTGTGGCCACTGCAAGCACAATGAGCCGTGCTCTCCAGACACAGGCAGCTGTGAGTCCTGCGAGCCGGGCTGGAACGGAACCCAGTGCCAACAGCCCTGCCTGCCTGGCACCTTTGGCGAGAGCTGCGGACAGCAGTGCTCTCACTGCCGACGTGGGGAGGTCTGTCAGCCAGATACTGGCCACTGTCAGCGCTGCGACCCTGGCTGGCTGGGGCCCAGGTGAGCGCACCATTCTGTTCAGGGTGGGGTGCACCTCCCCCCAGGACCCTCACCTCAGCGGCGCTCTCTGAGAGCACCACCCCTCCCTGACACACAGGTTCATGCAGTCCCAGGGGCCTCCCTCCTGTTGAAGAGTTGGGGAGAGCAATGAGTTCTGGGGGTACCTGGGCAGGATCCCAGCTCCCTCCCCTCTGAGGCTTCCTGCCCTCCTCCCCCTCTGGGGACTTGTAGTGTGTCAGCTGCTGGATTCGGCCCCAAGTTCAAGGCCCTATTTACGCCTGAGCTTCACTGCTAAGGCGTGGCCAGTTGGGTCCTTGAGTCCAGGAGCCTGGAGTGGACAAGTGGGGCCCCACGGTGGGGGTCAGGCCTGCCTTGCTCTCCCCTTCCCCGAGTCTTGCCTCACCCCAGGTGTGAAGACCCCTGCCCCACTGGCACCTTTGGGGAAGACTGCGGCTCTACCTGCCCCACCTGTGTTCAGGGGGCCTGTGACGCTGTGACAGGGGAATGTGTCTGCAGTGCCGGCTACTGGGGGCCCAGGTGAGGACGGGGGTCCTGGGGGCAGGAGAGTACCAGGGGCCTAGGTCAGGCCTCTGTGCAGCGTTTCCTCAACTTGCCTGGACAGTGCCCGGAAATCTCCCTCCCTGTCTCCTGCCTGTCCCTCCCTTCACGCAGCCCTCAGCCCGCCTCTCCATGTCACTCCACAGCTGCAACACCTCCTGCCCGGCCGGCTTCCATGGAAACAACTGCTCAGTTCCCTGTGAATGCCCAGAGGGACCCTGCCACCCTGTCTCCGGGTCCTGCCAGCCGGGTAAGGTGGAAGAAGGCTGCAGGGTGCAGTAGCCAGGGAAAGGCGGGCCCTTCACACGGGCTCCAGGGCCAGTTCCTCACCAGGGAGTCTGGGCCACTTCAGAGACATTCTTTTTTTTTTTTTTTTTTCTTGAGATGGAGTCTCGCTCTGTCCCCCAGGCTGGAGTGCAGTGGCACGATCTCAGCTCACTGCAACCTCCGCCTCCAGGGTTCAAGCCATTCTCCCACCTCAGCCTCTCGAGCAGCTGGGATTACAGGTGCCCACCACCACGCGGGGTTAATTTTTGTATTTTTAGTAGAGATGGGGTTTCACCATGTTGGCCAGGCTGGTCTCGAACTCCTGACCTCAGGTGGTCTGCCTGCCTCTGCCACCCGAAGTGCTGGGATCACAGGCATGAGCCACTGCACCCGGTCCAGAGACATTCTTTATACCTGAGCTCTGTGTGGATGCTCTGGGGCTCCCTGAAGATGTGACAGAGCCCTGGCCCCCTGCGAAACCAGGCTAGAGCCATGAAATGCGCAGCAGGTTGGTCGGACACTGACAGGGCCTCAGGGGCAAGAATCTGTGGAATGGGCCACAGACCCTGTGGAAGGGGACACGCCAGCAGAGAGGCTGCCCGGAGGCAGGAGAGACCCCCATGAAGAAGCTTCTGGGTAGCAGGCAACTCAGAGCAAAGACAGGATGTGTAGGAGACAGGAAGGCCTGAATATCCCCCATCTCCGGCTCCCCCAGGCTCTCGCAGTCGGGACGCCACCCTTATCGCAAGCAGCCTTGTGCCTCTGCTGCTGCTGTTCCTGGGCCTCGCCTGCTGTGTCTGCTGCTGCTGGGCCACCCGATCAGACCTCAAGGACAGGTGAACACTAGCCCGTCCCTTCCCCACACAGCTCAGGCCATGGGGTGGGAGCAGGGAGGCATCTGGTTTCCTTTCCGGGTGGGGAGGGCTGGCCTCATCACCCACATAGGTCAGAGGTGATGGGGTGGGGAGAGCTGGCCTTATCACCCACATAGGTCAGAGGTGATGGGGTGGGGAGGGCTGGCCTCATCACCCACATAGGTCAGAGGTGATAGGGGTGGGGAAAGCTGACCTTATCACCCACATAGGTCAGAGGTGATGGGGTGGGGAGAGCTGGCCTCATCACCCACATAGGTCAGAGGTGATGGGGTGGGGAGAGCTGGCCTTGTTGCCCACGTGGGTCAGATGTGATGGAGGTAGTTGGCCGTGACTGTGGCCTGGAGACACTGGAGACACCGGGTCAGCTGCCTGCCCTCCTTGGAAGCCTTCAATGAGTAAGTTTCTGAGTTGCATGGGCACCAGGCTGGCAAACTGGAGCCTGCAGCGGGAGGCAGAGAGCTGACACCGGCAGGGACCAGAGGAGGAGGACTGGGACCACGGCAGGAGCAGCCCGGCTCTGGGCCAGGAGGGAAAGAGACCAGGCCTCAGATGCCCCGCAAAGGAAAGTGACATCAATGTCTGTGCAGTGGGTTAGCAGAGAATGTAGCTTCCTGGGAGGCGGAGAGCGGAGGGAGGGTTGGGCTGGTGGGGCCCGCCGCAGGGGGGCTTACGCAGAGCTTTGTTCCTTTATGAAACCTCTTCACACTCCAGGCTTCTTTGAGACTCACAACAGCCTGGAGGTTTGGAACAGGGAATGTTGGGCCAGGAGGATTATTGTCCTCAATTCCCAGAGGACACGGAGGCCCGAGGTGATCCAGTTGGTTATTGGCACCCAGGAATCCCCTCTCCACCTTTTTGGACTCTTTGTCTGGTGCTCTCTTGCTAGTTCCTGCCCTAGTCCTCCACCACGTCCTCCTCTGTGCTTGTGTGGCATTCACAGATGAGCAGATACAGTTGCCACTGGCCCAGGGCATAGAGCCCACGGTGGCAAGAAGCCCCTCACAGGGACACAAGGACAGGTGCAAAGGCTGTTGGAGGAACAGTGAAGAGTGGAGCAGTCTCCTCCCCATGTGGGGGCACAGCAGAGTGGGAACAAGGGAAGGCTTCCTGGAGGGGGTGTCATTTGAGACAGGTGGGCCAGGCACAGTGGCTCACACCTGTAATCCCAGCACTTTGGGAGGCCGAGGCGGGCAGATCACCTGAGGTCAGGAGTTCGAGACCAGCCTAGCCAACATGGTGAAACCCCATCTCTACTAAAAATACAAAATTAGCTGGGCATGGTGGTGGGCGCCTGTAATCCCAGCTACTCAGCAGGCTAAGGCAGGAGAATCGCTTGAACCTGGGAGGCGGAGGTTGCAGTGAGCCAAGATCGCACCATTGCACTCCAGCCTGGGCAACAAGAGCGAGACTCTGTCTCAAAAATATATATATAGAGAGAGAGAGAGAGACAGGTGAGCTGGGGCTCAGCTAGGATGATAATAACAAAAAGCTGCATTTTGGAAAAGCCCCCACAAAACGCTTGGTACCCTGCCAGGTCCTGCAGATTAGATAGACAGATAGACAGACAGACAGACAGACAGATAGATAGGATCTGTTTTACAGATGTGGAAACTGAGGCCCAGGGAGGTGAAGTCTGAGCCAGAGTTGTTACTCAGGGCTGTCTGACTCTAGAGTCACACTTGGTTCTGTGGCAGGCCTGAATCTTGAGCTCAGTCGTTTGGATTTTATTCTGCAGTCAACAGAGTCACTGAAGTAGAGGTCGTCACCCTGTCACACCCTGCCAAGGTGACCCAGGTCACCTTGGGTCTTACGCACTGACCACTGTCCCTGCCCTCCTCACTCAGGCCAGCAAGAGATAGAGCTACCGTGTCCAGGGTGAAGATGCAGGTCCGGGGAACACTGACCAGCTTAGGCTCCACACTGCCCTGCGGTTCCCTCAGCTCCCACAAGCTACCCTGGGTGACAGGTCAGTGGGCACTGGGGGCCGTGGTCTGGGATTGGACAAGGCTTTGCATCAGGTCCCGCAGGCGCCTGATCTGGAGTCTCTACAGTTTCACATCACGACCCGGAGGTCCCCTTCAACCACAGCTTCATCGAGCCACCCTCTGCCGGCTGGGCCTCTGATGACTCCTTCTCATCCGATCCTGAGTCTGCAGAGGCAGACGAAGTTCCTGCCTACTGTGTGCCACCCCACGAAGGTAGCCCCCCAACAGCCCACATAGCCCCTGAGCAGCCCTGCCCCCCACAACCCCCTCTCTAGTCCCCCAGCAAACAGTTATTATTTATTTATTTATTTATTTATTTATTGAGAGTGGGTCTTGCTCTGTCGCCAGACTGGAGTCCAGTGGTGCAATCTCAGCTCGGTGCAATCTCAGCTCACTGCAACCTCCGCCTCCCAGGTTCAAGCGATTCCCCTGCCTCAGCCTCCCAAGTAGCTGGGATTACAGGTGCCCACCACCGCATCTGGCTAATTTTCCTATTTTAGTAGAGACCGGGTTTCACCACGTTGGCCAAGATGATCTCGATCTCCTGACCTCGTGATCCGCCCGCCTCAGCCTCCGGAAGTGCTGGGATTACAGGCGTGAGCCTCCGCGCCCGGCCGGCAAACAGTTATTAAGGGCCCATTCTGTGTTAGTCACTGTTCTTGGCTCCGGGGATGCAAGAGATAACAAGACAGATTCCTATCCTCACCAAGCTTAGAGTCAGATGGGCAGTCATCAGACAATGACAGGACACAGTGATATGTGTCTCCCTGGGGGACATACAAGTAGGGGCTCGCTAGCCATGTTGGGGTGACCGGGGTCAGGGAAGATGTGTGTGGTATCCCAGTTGAGTCTAGCAGAATCAGTAAGAGTTAACTAAGTGAAAGTCAGGGAGGGGAGGGAATGGTGTTTTAGGAAGATGGAACAGCATATACGAAGGCCCAGAGGTGAGAGGGATGTGGCTCGGTGACATCAAAATAGTTTTAGCTTGGTTAGAGTGTGACAGTATTTCAAAGTAGGGAGAGGTGGTGAGAAAAGAGTATAGAGACCAGGTGTGGTGATTCACACCTGTGATCCCAGCACTTTGGGAGGCTGAGGCGGGAGGATTGCCTGAGGCCAGGGGTTTGATACCAGCCTGGCCAACATAGTGAGACCCCATCTCTACAAAAATTAAAAAAAAAAAAAAGAGTGTAGAAGTAACAGTGTCTACCTGAATTGGTCCTTCTGCCTCTCTCTTCTTCCCTGCCCTCTTCCTTGCCCTATTTTTGAGGCCTCCTGGAAGATACTGAGCTGTGGGTAGGATGCATTGGGGTGGCCAGTTCAGCTCCAGCCAAGCTCTTCTGTCTCCTCTGCCAGGGATGGTCCCTGTGGCCCAGGCAGAGTCGTCAGAGGCCAGCCTGGCTGGAGGTGCTTTCCCGCCCCCTGAGGACGCCTCCACGCCATTCGCCATCCCGCGCACCTCCAGTCTAGCTCGGGCCAAGCGGCCATCGGTCTCCTTTGCTGAAGGTACCAAGTTTGCACCACAGAGTCGCCGAGGCTCAGGGGAGCTCTCCAGCCCGCTCCGAAAGCCCAAGAGGCTCTCCCGGGGGGCACAATCAGGTCCTGAGGGCCGGGAAGCCGAAGAGTCCACAGGCCTGGAGGAAGCAGAAACAGATGAGTCCCTTCCTGCGGCTGCCAGTCCAGGAGATTCAGCCACTGGCCACCGACGGCCCCCACTTGGTGGCCGGACAGTGGCTGAGCACGTGGAAGCCATTGAGGGCAGTGTCCAGGAGAGCTCAGGCCCTGTGACCACGGTCTACATGCTGGTGGGGACGCCCCGGGGATCTGAAGGCCCTGCCCGCTCTGTCTTCCGCCATTTTGGTGGCTTTCAGAAAGGCCAGGCAGAACCCAAGGTCAAGAGGGCCATCCCTAAGCCTCCACGCCAGGCCCTGAATCGGAAAAAGGGCAGCCCTGGCCTGGCCTCTGGCTCTGTCAGCCAGAGCCCCAACTCAGCCCCAAAAGCTGGGCTTCCTGGGGCCATGGGGCCTATGGCAGTCAGACCAGAGGAAGTGGCCCGGGGGCTGGGGGCAGGCACGGAGAGTTCAGGGAGGACCCAGGAGCCAATCTCTGGGGCTGGCTTCCCGAAACAGGATCCCCAGAAGCAGGCTGAAGAGGAAAGGCAGGAGGAACCTGAGTATGAGAATGTTGTACCCATCTCCAGGCCACCAGAACCCTGATGACCTTGAATTTGGGGAGTGAGGAGACTGGATGGGATCAGAGCTGCCATGGACTGGACTGTGCTGTGTGCTGGAAAATGATCCCAGGGCCCGGACAGACAGACCAGAGCCTCTGCCCCTCCACAGGGAAAAGGCAAGGCTTCCGGGCCAGGTGGCCCAGGGCCCTGGTGGTGCTCCCGGATGGGGCCTGGAAGGCCTGGGCAGAGACCCTGCAGGATGGGGTCAGGAAGGGTTAACTGCAGGGACTTCTCCTGTGCTGTCCTGGACCCTGTGTGCCTCATAAGAGCTATTCTTTCTTTCATGTGAAAAACATTTTTCTGAAATGACAACCTACATGTTTGCTGATAAAAGATTGGCTAAACAAATATTTCTTTTTGTTGTTGTTGTTCTGTTTTGTTTTGCTTTTTTGAGACAGAGTCTCGTTCTGTCCCCCAGGCTGGAGTGCGGTGGCGCAACCTTGGCTCACTGTAAGCTCCGCCTGCCGGGTTCACACCGTTCTCCTGCCTCAGCCTCCTGAGTAGCTGGGACTACAGGTGCCCACCACCAACGCCCGGCTAATTTTTTTTTTTATTTTTAGTAGAGATGGGGTTTCACCATGTTAGCCAGGATGGTCTCGATCTCCTGACCTCGTGATCCACCCGCCTCGGCCTCCCAAAGTGCTGGGATGACAGGCATGAGCCACCGTGCCCAGCCTATGAACTTTGTAAAAAGGATGTATGTGCATAAAAACAGATTCAAGGGAAAGACACTAAATGGTATTTTCCTCTGGAAGGTGAGATTGTAGGTGATATTTATTTTCTTCTGAAACTTTTGTATGGTTTGCAAATTTTCTACAGTGAACATTCTTTTTTACTTTTGTTACTAGATAGAATTTAATAAACTATAATAAAAAGCAATGATCTTTGTTAAAAAAATAAAAAGTACTAACATTACAGACATGTATAAAGTAAACCGGAGATTTCCCTTCTCCCCAGAGGCATCTGTGGGTCTGAATCTAAAGGAGAGAGGTAGAATCTGCTTTTGCCTGGCAGCTTTTTGGTCTTGTTTGAATTCTTTGCTCACATATTACCTAGTCAGAAAAGAAAAGGGGCAGCTCCCCCCATGCTTTATTTATTTCTTTAAGATGGAGTGTCACTCTGTCACCCAGACTGGAGTGCAGTGGCATGATCTCGGCTCACTGCAACCTCTGCCTCCCGGGTTCAAGCAATTCTCCTGCCTCAGCCTCCGGAGTAGCTGGGATTACAAGCACCCGCCACCACGTCCGGCTAATTTTTGTATTTTTTGGTGGAGACAGGGTTGCACCATGTTGGCCAGGCTGGTCTTGAACTCCCAACCTCAAGGGCTCCACCGCCTGGGCCTCCCAGAGTGTTGGAATTATAGGCATGAGCCACCACGCCTGGCCAGGGGCAGCTCCTTTTATCCCAGTGCTCAGAGAATCTCATCAACAACTGGGTGCTTTCTTTCAGATGTTTTTCTGTGTAGCTGTCAACAAATATTTTAAACGAAAACAAAATTTTAGCATACTTAGCATACTGTTCTCAGCTGCTTTTTGTTTTTTTAGAAATGGGGTCTTGCTCTGTTGCCCAGGCTGGAGTGCAATGGTACAATCTCGGCTCACTGCAACCTCTGCCTCCCAGGTTCAAGTGATTCTCTTGCCTCAGTCTCCTGAGTAGCTGTGATTACAGGTGCGTGTCACCACGCCTGGCTAATTTTTGTATTCTTAGTAGAGACGGGGTTTCACCATGTTGGCCAGGTAGGTCTCGAACTCCTGACCCACCTTGGTCTCCTGAAGTGCTGGGATTACAGGCGTGAGCCACCGCGGCCGGCCTCAACTTGCTTTTCTACTTAACAATATATCCTGGATATAGTTCAATGTCCATAAAATAAAGCCACCTCTCTTTATTAAAAAAAATGACTACATGAGATTCCATCTAGCACAACTATTTAAATCATTCCCCTGCCAATGGATGGTTGGGTTGTTCTGATCTGTTTTGATACAATAAACAATGACATAGCATACAACTTTGTTCATATTTATTTATTTTTTGAGACAGAGTTTCAATCTTGTTGCCCAGGCTGAAGTGCAATGGCACAATCTCAGCTCATTGCAACCTCCGCTGGGTTCAAGCGATTCTCCTGCCTCAGCCTCCTGAGTAGCTGGGATTACAGGCACCTGACACCACGCCCAGTTAATTTGGTATTTTCAGTAGAGACGGGGTTTCTCCATGTTGGTCAGGCTGGTCTCGAACTCCCGACCTCAGCTGATCCAACCACCTCGGCCTCCCAAAGTGCTGGGATTACAGACGTGAGCCACCGCACCCAGCCCCATATTTATTTTTACATTTGTGCAAGTTTTTCTATCGAATAGATTCCTAGAAGCAGGGTTGTTGAGTTGTAGGGTAAGGGAGTTAGACACTTCTGTACTCACTCCAAATTGTCTCCAAAAATGTTGCCTGGATTTGTATATTCTCACAAATTATGGGGGAATCCATGTCCCTACACTCAATCTGATCAGATAAAAAAGGGTATCTCATTATTCCACCTTGGTAAAAATAAAGTAACGCATGCTAAAT